GGATTTGGAGCGATTCTATATCAATATGTATATTACACAATGACACACTTAATACATTGTATTAACGATAAAAGCATAACGGAAAGATGTATTTTTGCAGACTTTCGTGACTTTTTTAACGCATGGAAAATAAACTATATCGGTAATAATCAATGATGAATAGATCAATAACCACCATTTTAAATTCTTAATATGCCAATATTATATAGAAATGTTCAATAATAATTGTCAAAACTTGGTAAGAAGATGGTACGGTGTGTGTGTTCATGTAACTCAATGAATAAAAATAAAATAAATAAAAACTATTTGATTTGTATGTAACTTCTGACGTAGAATACCATGCACATGCGTATGTAAAGACTTGGGAAAGATAAACATCAAACATTTTTTTACATTTTTTTTGTGTATAAAATATAATATACGTACATTTATAAGTATTTATTTAGTTTTTTTTATTAGGGATAGTTATATTCCAATATCTGCTTAGAAGTCGTACAAATATTATTATTATTAACCCTCTGGGTGCTGTAACTAGTGAGATATTACGACTAATAGTGAATTTCTGCTTCTGCGTTTACCCTGCATTGAGTATAGTCGATAGAGGGGATACATATATGAAAAACGAATGGTGAGTTAGGTTAGGTCGTATTGTGTTAGAATGGCGAACACAAAATAAATGCTATAGCCAGGCGTGGAATAAAGAGTGAATATATACGTCTTAATGGTTTTCGGCTTTTTGTCACACAAATATATATATATGATATGATCGGTAGGTACCTATTATACAATATTATATAAGACCATCTGCCTTGTATTTTCGGGCTACTGGGAGGAATCCGCTCTTCACAATAGAAATACCTTAAATATTTTTTTTTTTATACATTTTGTTAAGTGAAAAATGTTTTCCAGCAAATTTCAAGAATAAGAATATGAAAGAAGGTACCTAGATATTTAATTTTATTGTATTCAACACTGAACATTTTGTGTTTTTTCTATATATTTTACAATCAATGATGGTTATATGTATATTTTTGTGTAAGATTTAACTGCATGCTAAATGCTAAATTATTTTTTTTAGTCTTTTACTTTTTTGTTTATATATATATTGTTTTGGTATTCTACCCAAATGCATCCAACTAAGTTAATTTGATTTTGAGAGGTAAATTGGTGAATATTATATTATACTAAGTGAAATTTTGGCATCGATATTATGAAAGGTAGGCGTACAAACTAAAAACTAATGTAGGAATTAGTCCTAAGATAAATAATACAAGTATTTCCCCGTAGACTACACCAAATCGATAAATATGCGCTGGGGTAATAGCATTATTAAAATATTTTATTTATAATTCAAAAATCATTTTAAATATATAGGTAAATACAACAAAGAGGTTGTTATAATTTTTTTTTTTATATATATATATTTTTTATATTTTATTTTAAATGCAATTGTATAATATAGTGTACCGTGGTTGATATTCTATAATATGCTTTCGTTTTTTTATTTTTATTTTATAACTTATTATTTAAATACAAATATAATATTATGTTTTTTTTTTAAATACCCATGAATAATTTTGAGTACCTCCATGTAGTAAAAACTTGTGTGTTTCACTCGAATTCATTCTTTATATTAAAATAAAAAAATCTTATTTTTAAATATTTTTTATTTTCAATGTTTTGAATTGATCAGTAAAAGCTAAAATCTATTTTCTGTAATCAAGTATACCTTTTACCCAGTCATAATTTGTCTTGCACTTTGTGTATATAGCTCAGGGTTTATGGTTGTAGGTTGTAATATTTTACTATTTTATTAAGAAATCTGCAGTATAATATAGTTTTAGTAAAATTAATTTATTGTTAGAAACTATAATGCAGTTGGCGTGAAAATATTATGAAATATAAATAAATATTGCACTTTACACTTTACACTTTTTAACGGGTATTGGTATAGTCAATGAGAAAGTCAAAATATCATCGCGCGTTCTCATTTTGTCCCGTAACATTGATATCCACCAATTTAAATATCCGAAAAAAAATCTGTGACCCCTTCGTTGGATAAACCTAAATGTAATGATTCCCCAGAGAGTAAGAGCATATCGCTTTATAAACACGAGACGAGTTTGGAATTTTGTGGAAATAGTTTCATTCCCCGTTATCTCGATGAATAATTCCTAAAAAAGACCGAAGTTGGACAGTATTTCTCTACAATCTGTGTTAGTGCTTTCTTAATTAAAAACCATCGTTCTGTAATAAGTTTACAACTCGATCCAAGCTGTGACGGAAAACTGTCTTTAAGGCCGTAGGTATATATGCATATTTTATATTATGTCCCATGAATGCATACAACATCATGATTTCTTCAAAATATTGAAAATTCTAAACTGATTAGATTTTATAAACTAGCCATTAATCATTAAGCAAGTCATTTCCAGGCACTCATAATGTTTAATCATATTATATTCGTACTTTCTATAGACCAACACATTTTCATAAACAAATACTCATTTATTAATCTGCAAATCAACGAGTTTATACCCTTATTTGGATTACATTTACATACCTATAATATAATTTTAAAAACTACAAAAACTTTTAATTTGATTTTTCTCATTTATTATCTTTTTCGTAAAATTGTTATTTATTGACATTTAATTCCAAAACGCAAATAATAAACAGTTCATAAAAACTTAATTTAATTATTAAAAAAAATCAGCAGCAGCTGTAGGTAAAAATTATTAAAATGTGTTACATACGCATGATAATCGTCATTAATGCAATTATGTTTTTAGTATTATATTATTTTATCTTGGATAACGTTTATAGTTTTGTAACTCATTGATCATAATTGACAGCAATTGCATATCGTAAATTAAATAATGTTCGAGTGCAACCGGCTTAAAAACAAATGGACTTTTACGCAAAGATTTCTAAAAACTATTATCTTGCAATCCGTTTAAAAACCTTATAATAACTTAGTAAATGTAGAATCACGCACATCTGGAGTTGAAATTACTTGGTTTAAATTTAAACTTAAGAAAATGATAGTATATCTCCTACATATGCTTCGATTGATATATTTTTTAAGACGATGCTACCTATATATTTTACTAATCGTATAGTATAACGAAGCGTGCCTATGTCGTCTTGGTAACGTCGTTTCGAATGAATATCCACGAAAATATACATTTTTATATTGCTATAGTATAATATATTATACAGTATAATATATTTATTTTATATCATATTGGTTTAGGTATAAGATACGATGTTTACTCCTTTATCGTATCTCCTTGTTGTTTTTCTATTATACGCCGGGAGGAGAGCAGTATTTTTTCGACGGGTGTACACACGCACTAACGACTTTATAGTAGGTAAATATACAATAAGTTTATTCCAAATAACACGATGTACGTACCATATTGTAACATGTGTGCGCGTGCTTCAATAATTTTAAACGATTTTAACATCATACAGTGAGTATAATGTAATTTAAACAGTCATAATATTATTTCGAGACACCACAGCGTTGGTATTATTAATAACAAAAGCTGCACAGGAATTATACTCGTCGAGTATAAAGCTGAAAATCCTGGCAGTGAGAAACAATGGAAAAATATTATGGTATTATTTGATAACAACCCTAAGTGTTTATAGTATATATATACTATACACGGGTACTTACTACTTACCGCCAACTTATCAATTCTGAATTCATTAACCGATATAGTTGATTTCGTTAAAACATTTTACGACCATTGTACAATAGTTTTAAATCGTAATTTTCAGCATAATATGTGCTTCATACGTATTAACATCTGTGGTGTGTGTCTACTTATAATTTTGTACACACTTCGATGTCTTGCTGATTAATTTGAATATAAATTATTGACCAAGCGTGTTTGAGTTGACATGTTGTTAATTGGTGTATTAACATATTATATATTATATGAGTATACATATATTACTTAAGAATATGTTTCTTAAACAATATTCGTTTTCAATAATAATATTACGATGTCGCTTAAAATTGGATTTGACATATTGCACATTTTAAATATAAATTATCTTCAAATTGTTCTCGCTAAGCAGTAAAATTTATAATATATTGTACCTACTCTTTTTTTTAGTTCTTTTTCGTAATTTATACATTAAACAGCATTTAAACATTTTAAATTGTTAAATATACTTTGTAGGGAAATGTCGTATTTCGTTTTGTTTAGTTGCTTTTCTTATACAAAACATTATACTTAACATGAGATCATTAATTTTATGATCCTATAGAAAATACACAAATACTCTTAAAAGTTTGGGACTTGAAAACTTAAATATTTTGTACGAGTGTATTGATAATCACACAAACACACACAATCGTACTCGATCAACGATACATACTTAAAACAAATCAAAACAAAAAACACGCGGCATTTGCACAGAATTCAAGATTATAATTATTTACTAGTCGTTTAAATGATTTAGATTGATTCGATGTTGTGTCGAGTTTGCGTAAAATATTAAAATTAATTACGCCGATGTACTAAGTGCAAAATGTTGATGAAGGGGTCAAAATTACTTTTTTGTGTAAACGCGAGAACTGAAATATTATTAGAGTTTTTGGTTGGAGAGATTGCTTTGTATAATCTGTACATGTGTACATATTAAATAATATGAATCACAACTGGGACGAACTTTATGTGTTTTAAATTACCTCGATGAACGGCTGCTATGGCTGGTACACCGAAGAAACACGCATGACAAATGTTAAAAGTTTGACAACAACGATTTTACATGAATACAAATCATAAATGTGTCTTGTACAGTGCAATTAACGGTTTTCTTATTTTCAATAATATACACACGTTCTATTGAAACAACTGATGAATAATAATCTAAACAACTATTACCTATAGTTTTTGTACACTGCGTATACAATTATTTAACAATTTGAACAGTTGTCAATCGCAATCAAAAAAATACCACCTATATATGCGATTCTCTCACTTTATTTACAATCTATACGTTTGTACATGTGTTGTTTATTCGGATAATAACGCATCAAAACGGTGAACAGTGCGATGAATGTAATATGAACGGTCATCAGTGCCATTGCACTGACGAACTCAATACTTAAACGAAAACAATTATAGAGGAATGTCAGCGTACACCGTGTACGCCGTTTTTGCGGTAAGCTTATACGAAATCTATTGTTGATGATGATGATGATTATTATTATATTATTTTATTGTACGATATTACATTTCATTTTAAACAGATTTGAAAATAAAACGGACAAATTATTAACACCACGATTAAATATCCCTGATATTTTCTTGAGCCACAGTTTTACTTTTATAATAATATGTCTAAAACTTTAGTCTCGCAATAGGCTTGCCCCAAATTTCATGTTTTCAAATAGGTGATAAATAATACTATTACTTGATAATATTATCTCGTAATATTTAATTGTATTGGTAAATATAACTAAAATATAAAATTTATCCAATTAATGTTATCATGCATCAATAACATTAATTTTTATCAGACTACCCATATCAGTTTAGAGATATATTTTATTGGTTACATGATTATAATATATTACGTCTGGTTTAAATTGCTTCTGCCGTCAGATTAATGTTTTTACCATACCTATAGTTATATTAAATTTTTAATACGTTAAAGGTTAAATTTCAGGAAAAACTTGCTTATGTGACTTAATTCAATTGTGGGTTCCTTTCAATTTTTTCCTTCCTGATTAAAGTCTTCGAACTTGTGTTATATTTTTTTTGGCATAATAATTATCATTATTTTGTATAATTGACACACTAACCAATTCAAACAATATCAATTATAAAATATTTTAAAATGTTTTTTGTACCTACTCAATCGGGGTTTTTGTTTTTTTGAGAGGTAGATGGTCAATTTTAGGTATGACTTATTATCATCAAAATGCCTATAGGTGTATGATATATTAGATTTTAAATGTTTTATTAAAAAAAAAAAATATTTATATCTTCTCTTAAGTTTTTATTATTATTATGTATTACCTTCTACTCGTCAAGTAGCATATTTATGCAGAATTATGAGTATCTATTATTTTTTGCTCACTACATCATAATTGTTTAAACATGAAAAATATATCATACAATATCAATATCACATCAAGCACCTTTTATTATTTCCAGTTTCATGTGGTGTTTTAATTTAATTAATTAACTAATATGAGTTAAGTACGCTTTTGGTATAACCATTATCCGTGTTGCACTATAATTTTCTTTTGCATAATATGTCCTTATGTATAATAAGATAGAGTCTAAAGTGCTTATATACTAACGAATGTACCTAATGGGAATTTAAAATTTTCATTTTTTTTTTATAAATTTAAAAAGTCTGTTTAACGAGTCGAACGTATTAACATAAACCTCAAGAAAAAATTTTTAATGTATTTTCGGAAAATAAAATCAATATAGCCATATTTTGCTGCCCTGAATCTATAATATTATATTATACGCCTAAGGAGAAAGGCATGTCCTTCAGGATTATCATATTGATAATCTTGCCGTAACTTGTTTTCAAACATGTCATAAAATATCAATATTGATGATAAACAAATGCATTATGTTATACATTCATTAATATTCTCATCATTACGAATAATTTCTTGTCCCTTCTGGTTTTTCCCTTTTTTTTAATAAAAGTTTTCATTGCTTCATTTTACCTACAGCCTTATGTTTTTTTCAGTGAATAAATAAACTTACAATGTTTTTTTTATTTTTTGTCTTTGATTATTGGAATATATTATGTATTACGCTGTATGCGACTCTCCGCCTTCTCTATTTTTATGGCTCTTTTATTGTCGTATAATAAACTTTTCGAGACTTAAATTGCGGGACTTGTTCCCTTACCACATGAATTATGTTTACAAATTTATGATTATAAACTCTAATTAATGTAAACATTGTTATGGTACATACTATACATAAGGTATATCTTATATAGAAATTATTATTCAACAGATAAGTTGTCACGGAATTTTTTTTCGAAATGGTCCACTATAATAATCTACTGAATCTACTTGTAGTGTACAAGTCTACTTACAATATTAATACATTATTTATTTAGGTAACACATTTAATTTGTAGTGGTGTATGCAGAAAATATTATACATCCTTCAATTTCTCTATTATAATTAATTTTATTTCAAGTTAAATAAATAATCTAAAAATTAATTCTAACGATTGACGAAATTACCAACACTGATGTGCATACACTTGCGGACTATACCGATAGTTACCGCCCGTACTATATAAAGCCGATAAAATAAGTTATCCATACCGTAGTAACAGCTGATCCATTAAATAATTTTAATAATAATCATAATAATTTTAAAAACCATCAACATCATCATATCATACCATACCAAACCAAACCATATCATAATAATGAAACAATAAAAAAACAAACCTCCCCGTCGCCGGTGGTGCGATCACGGTCGTGTTGTTGTAGGTGGCGGCGGCTGTGACTGTGACCGCATTAATACAACCGGACGAGGTCGGTCCCGAGGGGGTGTTCGAGCAATCCGTTTCGGAGATGATGGACCACGACAAGGAAATGACCAAGGACGTTGCGGAGATGTTGGTGGCGGCCGAGTCGCTGGGTTGTGCGAAGGCGGAGGACGACGTGGACCCCGCCGCTGCGAAGGCTCAGACCGAGAAGCTCAAAAGGGCGCTGGCGGCCATGGACGAAGTGCAGAGAACCGCGGCCGACGTGTTCGACCGGTGCTACGACGATTTCCTGGACCTGTATCCTGCGTGGCGCATGTACCTGCTTTGCAAGGACCCCGAGCACAAGAAAGCCCTGTTCAAGACTTACAGGACGTTGTTGGGCCGATACAATACGGGCCGAAAGGCGCTCATCCGGGACCTGGGAGTGCTCATGGCCCTCGAGAAGGCACTGTTGCCGTCCAACGTGTACGCCGACCCCGACCACCGGATCAAGCAGTCGGCCGACACGGCCGCGGTGCTCGACAACTTTTGACCCGGTCTCGTTTTGTTCTGATTTTTTTTTTTTTTTTGTGTGTGTGTACCTATATACTATAAATTTGCAGTACTTCCGTCATAATCGATGTACGCCAATAATTTACGTAACACTGTTATGATTTTATGTAGACCCCGAACGTCGTGTGTAAACTGATATTGTAACATTATATTATGTATACATAAATATTGAGCGTAACATAATACTCATCGCCGGTACTTATCTAATAATAATATTATATTTATATTTAGCAGTACTATGTATATGTATATATATGTAATATGTATGTATGGGATATCGTCTTTATCATTTGTCCGGTTCACCTATTGTTTTCGCCATCTCATTCCCCTCTTCCACCCGCACCATTGCGCACAGTCCCTGGTCCGGATGTACTTAAGTCTTTTTTTCCTTTCTCACTTTTTTCGTCATTTCGCCGAACTCTTTGAATTTTTCATCGGACCTTCAGCGATACGCCGATAATTATTATTTACTACCTTCGCCGTATATAGGTATATATATACCGCGTTGGTACTATATTCTTTTCTTTTTTTAATGACTTTAAACTTTTATAAACTTTTCCGTGCACCGTGGCGTGGCGTGGCGGCATAAAGAATATAGTTTAAGCAATTCAATTCGCCGAGAAGATTTACGACAGACGCTGTGCCGACAAGAGCAAATAAAAAAAAAAAAATGAAAATACGGCAATATTTCGTTATCATTAGTTACAAATTGTATTCGTAGGGTATACTGTAAGTAACGATTTAATACACTATACCTATGTAAGTCTCCGACGACGTACAAACGTTAAATATTAAGCCCGCCGAATGTATGATGTCTTATAGATTTCTTTATACCTAGCTAGGATTGCAGTGTATTGATTTTACTATGATGGTTTTTTTTTTTATCCGAACACTTTTTATTTCTGATGGACGCTAGGTTTGCTGTATACAGAGAAGATTCACTCGGCGTGTTCGGACAGTGTACTTTTAGGATGTAATTTTTCGATTTCCTCTATAGTTTTCCCTGGGACCATGAAGATATGTCGGCGACCAACCATTAATCGTATTTCGATTGCCACGATTTTTTTTTCAGAATTGTATATCACATTACACCCAGTATAATATATAGAAACAGGCGGCGTTATGCGTAGTGCCCGACTCTTCCGGTTCTGTATCCTGCTCTGTTTTTTTTCTCTCCCACTTTTCCGGACTTTTTTATACCACGCTCGATATGGAAAAAAAACAACATGTATATATATATATTTATATTTAACATTTAATCCGATTCCTAGTGTAATGCACACAGGTAAGTACGCTAGTCGTTCGCATATAATACGTGCATGCGCTCTTCACAACAACTTGACGTGCCGGAGCGTTTTTCCGCCAATTTACCTAATTGTTACGCGCATTAAACAAACGCGCGCCCGTCCCGTATTCGCCGTACCGTAAATAATACAGGACAAGTTAAATAATACGCGCAACCCGCGTGAACGTCAGAGAAAGAGGAACGTCTGCGACTAGAAATCCCGAGTGCAGGTCGATCCGGTTAGCGTGTTTCGACTCTGTCGGCCTTTTTTTTTGGGGGGGGGGGGGGGGGTTTCGTAGTAATGTTTTTTTTTTTCACAACCTTATGAGTGCAGCCGTCACCCGAGCCGCTATTCTATAATAAAATATTATCTATGTACATCGTGTGTGCACGCGTAATATATTATTAAAAACGGTGTCCAATAAATGTCTAACCCGGATTCCTCCGAATATATATGTGTAATATGTGTAGGTAATGTGTATACGGAATGGTAAACGTTTTGCGAATATTTCTCGTTATCCGTCTCCATCGGCGTGTAAAATACCTACTCGTAATTCGATGCGTGATATGCACCCATCATGATATTGAAATCGAGTTGTCGACCATTTAACGGCGTGTTGTTATCGAGATTCAACTCGAGTAGCTTCTAAATTAATACACTTTTGTATACTTATGATAGTGTGGGGTTTAAATGATGTGGGGGTATGATGATTTGAAAATTATACATAACATATTAATATTATGGTTATCAAGGTGAATTCATTGAAACTTTATAAATTGTGAAAATTGTAGTAGTTAGTACTATTATCCTACGAAGGTTAATTATATTGATTTAGATGCGTCAACATTTTCAAAAAATTAATTGTATGCCTCCATCACTAGGTAATCCTTAATTGAATAAAAATCTTATATATTTGAAAATATGGTCCTTTTATTTAGGTATTATACGCACATAAGTTTTAAATGGAATACATTTGGGTGAACACCGATTATGCTCGATGAATCATCCTGTATATTATATAATATATGCACTTCCACTTGATAACTTGTCTGTTATTTGGTTCTTCGTGACATGCGATACCTACGTCAGCAAAACAGATGACGGCTCGCGCACTATCTAGATCTACTCGACGTCGTTGATGTATATTTACATTTATGTACGTAATATGAACAGAAAACGACTGTGTGCTTATTATTTTTTTTATAATTACAATCACTGCTCCACTAACACGGGGTTTCTATATTATGTTCTGCTGTTGAGACTTTTTTTTTCGTAATTTTGTTTGTCTGACAGTGGTTGTATTGGTTTTGTTATCTGCCTGTCGTGTATTCAATATTATAAAGCCAAAGCCCAAAAAAAAAAAAAAAAAACGGTTTGTGTGCGCAAGTATTTTATTGAAATAATAATAATACAGTGACATGGCCCGTGTATACCTATGTATTTTAGTTTTCGTTTTACGTTCAAATCGTTTGTCATACTTTTGAACACTACTTGTAAATATTGGTATTTCGAAATATTGTTCTCTCCCTCACACTGTCAGTATAACAGCTTTTGTATTTTTCTTTGGATGTATTAATAACTTTAATATACTTTTATGTATTTGTGTGTGTACAGATGTTGTATAGTTGTGTATGGATTGACGGATAGAATTCCGTCAAAAAGATTGAACGTATAATTAATTTGGTATAGTATAAATGATAATTATTATTAATCCTTGAATATAATATGGATGAGATAAGAATTTTTTTTGTTTTGTTTCCGTGTGGCTCTCGACTCTGGAGAAGTATAATTTAATATGCCACCCACTTAAGACTCCATCTCGTCATTTTTTTTATCACTTGATGGCATTTAATAAACTATACCGAGAACCGTGGTCTGTGATCAAGTTGGTTGCAGCTACCAACAATTTAAAATCAAAAATCAACCAATAAAGCTTATTTTAAGAAGTAACTATAAATAATTATCAGTGACTGTGGCCACTTGTAGCCTCGATTGTGCATTCAACACGACTTATACTACATTACTTACGAATACGTAAAGCTGCAGTTAGCCTACACGGATATTTTGTTCGATTTTCGCATACCGCAAGCCCGTTCGTCTAATAAAAATATATTGCGGTGCGTGGTGTGGGTGACGATTTTTTGCTCCGCACATTTTGCAGTGGGCGAATATCATTATCACAATGACGTCAAAATCCGACACTTTCAACTATATACGGTATAACTAGGTTTTACGATAAGAGTTTTGCGGTGAACCCGGCCGAGTAGGTAGGCATGAGCGGTTGCGGACGACTTAAATGTACCACCTACCACACGCATACATTTTCCACGCCGTATAGTCTGGGGGAAACGCCAGTTTTCCGCCAAAGTCCACGCTCTCTTGCAATCGTTATTATACGTCGCCGTGCAGAATAATATTATAATATATAATATACCGCCTTGACAATTATTATGATTCTGCGCCGGACCCGGGCGGAATACCAATAAGTGTATATCATTATTGTGCAGCGCGTTTTATCTCCGTACCTACCTACATTTTATATGTATAATATTATATACGCATCTCGACAGTAACATATATGTATCGTAATCGTGTGCTACATACGCCGTGTGTCTAGTCTTCTATAAACGATATATAATAATACGTGTACACACGCCTATCCACCACATAGATACGGCCGTGATGCGTATATGGCGAACACACCTACATATGTGGACGACACGAATAAAGTTTATTCCCTTTAGCGTACATGTAGTGTGTAATATTATTTAATTTTTTAAGCATATCATATTTTATAATAATGTTATGCATACGGTGTGGTATGTTAAACGCACCGTAATATCACGGTAAAACTATTTTATCATCATCTCGTGGGTTTATTATAAGAGTATAATAATATTATGCATGCTCAATATCCGTAACGGTGTCCGAATGCCGATTTAGCCTCACTTGCATGCATTCAACGTTTAAAATTGCATTTCGACGATTACAACTTGACGGTGCGCGGGCAAAGCACAACATTACGCTCTCGGGAAACGAAAAATACGCCTCATTTCTGCGTGTCGACCGTAAACGATTTTTCATTCTTCATAATCAACTATACCAAGTTAGATACCTAGTAAATTATACAACAATAATTTATCCATTTGGCGGTATGGCATACTTATATGTGCAAACGTGGTATTGAAACATACAGTATACAGTGTAATAATCGAAAACTTACCGAAATCGATTTATTCCTTTTTTCCTTTGTTTTTACCCGCGCTACGTCCATACAATCGTCCTAATAATAATATTATATCGTATACCTATTACGTTATTGTATGCAAATACACTAATTATCCATAGATTCAAGTCAAAAACAGTTTTGTACCGAATATATACTTAAAAACCCCGCCGAACGTGCGGTACCTCGAACAAAATATACAAATCTCTGTCAGAGTGATTTCTCATTTTTAACAAAACTTTTAATTTAATTTTTTTTTTGTAACTTACGGTTTTCGAATTATAAAAACAAAGTTAATGGTTTTATTGAAAAGTCTAACTAAAAGTTCTAGCTATACTAGAATAGCGCCGGCAGGATACTATAATTATTTTGTTGCGTATCGTTTTTATTTACATTTTTAACTAATTTCGTCGGCAAAAAAACTGAGTTTTCCGTGAGATCGATACACACTTGCGGCGTTGCTCCCGATTTGTCCCTGCCGGCACGGCATTGGCGTGTAACGACTATTATTTATTACCTAGTTCAAAAGTACAGAACTCGGCGCAGTCGCTTATTTTTCGCTTTTTTCTCTCTGAAATATTAATATTACTTTTTTTTGCAGACATTTACGATTAATGCAAATTGTGTATTTACATTTAACGGTAAGTTAATTGTCGATAAATTTCGTTCGTTTGGGTTATTTTTTAACGTTTAAATTATTGTAAAAGTATATATTGATGTATTTCTACAAGCAATAATAATTTTAGTACTGTTTATACGCTTCCCATTCATGGTTGTCTATTTGACTCTTATTTCGCAATACTTCAAGATAATTTTGTCTGCGAATTCGTGATTATTTTATGTTCGTACCTAATGTATTGTGGTACCTACTCTATGTATTTGCATTTCGTTTTTTATAATTTTCGGGCACCTGCAATGGTATAAACAGTTGTTATTTAAGTTTAATGTTTGTATATAGACATAATATTATGGCGAATAAAAGGTACATACAACTACCCGCATATAAAAATTATCATCCATAGCGGTCGTATTTGTACGTACATGTTGGATATAACGATGAATTAACATGTGTTTTATAAAAAAAATAGTATGGAATATAAAAGATTCGATTATTATTATTATAACGCCCGGACCGGACCGGTGCTTGGAATACGCCGTAATAGTTTAACCGTTCGGCCCGAAACAAAAAGCAATTATTATTAGCGGTGGACTTACCGTCACCCCCTCCCCCCACCCCACCGCCACGACTCACCGCCGCATTATTATTACACAACCCCTCGAGGACAGCGGGTCGCGCCGAGCAGTCGGTCGGCAACTGTACTGTAATATAATATAGTATAATGCCGTCGTCGAAAAAGCGCAGTAAAGTTATGTACACGTTATTATAATGGTACCCCGTGTACGGCGTGCGTCTTGTATAAGTAATAATAATAATTATACGACGAAAATAATAAAAAATAAATTTAACAACGATTAATTATATCGTAGAAAGCGTAGTGTGTACTATAATAATAGCTGATATTTTGTTGACGAGACGCGCTATTGTTGACAACTCGTGCTTGCTCCTCGGGATGTGGCGTCCGGAGGCCGGGTGATGTTTTTTAAAATCATTTCGGTTTTCGACCCACCTCTGCCATACCAGTTACAGTAAGTGTTTGTTGTATGACAAACACATTGTAATAATAATTATGTGACCATTCGAAAACATTTTTTTTCTAGATTGTTGTTTCTTGAAATCCGATTTTTTGGGAAAAATTTTTATTTTGCAACAAATAAATGGACATCGGTTCACTTTTTAATTTCGAAAAACAAAAAGTGGAAAAAAGTTTATTTGCTGGGACAAACGTTGCGAGCGAGATACACGCCCATACAAGTATATGTAGCAGCAGTGAATTCAAACAATCTATTTTTATTATATTGTGCTCTATATAATATCGCGTATTTGCAGTGTCACGACGAGACTTGAAACGAACTGGCGTGTTATAAGTGGATTCGACCCTTTCATTCAGGTTCAAGCAAGCAAGGGCCCTTTATATATGATATTTTGTTCAAAGTAATTTCGACTCGACTGTTTGAATACAAATTGAACAGCTATATAATAGGAAAACTGAGATATTAATATAAGCGTATAACGATTCTATAAAATAGTTATAGGTACCAACGGATGATTTTACAACATTATAATGACCACTGTTCGGTGGTTAATTTATTTTGATTAATTTGAGAAGCATCCGATTTTCTATGTCAAAACGAGTATAGTTCCGCTGCGAGAAAAATGCGTAAGGTTATCGAGCGGGTCAAGTGCACTTGGACGTGTCACTGCGAGACCTAATTTCTGTATAAGATAAATATTGTGTTATTGTACACGCATACCACAATAGTAATTGTCACGGGAAATACAATATAATAGTATAAATAAATCGGAAACACTGCTTGCACGCGACCACTGGGGCATTATAACAGAGGAAAAGCTTTGGAGCGTCAGAATAATGATTATTGTTATTAATTGCACTCAAATACGTATTTTGTATCAACGGTTGAGCCATTTGAGATACTTTTAGGTTCTGTAACTTCGGACTACTTAAGTTTGTGGCTGCCAGTTTTCGATTTCACTAGAGATACTCGCGACTGGGTCGTTGAAATCTGTTTCAACTACACAAAACTTGGTGGCGACAACAATATTCATTCGATCGCTGTTAGGAAGGGAGAGTAGTCCGTTTTTTGTATGTCCAGGGCTTGACGTTTATTTTCCGTGACCGTTCAGAGTAGCATTTACTGCGAACGGCTGCTGCAGCCTTTGTAAACGATATAATACGCGTGTTTGAATCGTCCGGTATAAAGAGGACGTCGTACCCGCATATTTCGTATCCGCCGTATACGGTTATATTTTACACTACAAGGGGCTCGTAAAGTCGTTATATAACATATTAAACGCCTGAATGATTTTAAAAATTTAAATTAACTCTTCTCATAACTTCAAAATTAAAATATCCCTAACTATAAAAAAAACTTAGTGAAATTCAAAGCTGGATTATACTGAACTTAAAATTTGGAATTATAAATATTCGAATTTATCACTATCGAACCGAATGCATTTTCCGTGTAAATTAAATACGAGAACGCGGTTCCAATAACTGACACGTGACACGTTACCGTCAGTCTCGCCCAAATCGAGTCCTCGTCAAGTTACAATCTAGAAAACAAACCCAATGTCCTTTCTTATCTGCAGTCTCTTCTACGCATCATACAGTAATATAGCTATAGTATTAGAAAATATGGCAGGTAAATTTGCTCAAAATGAATTCAGTGTTTAAAGTATATGCATACCAAATATTACCCGTGCTATATTAAGATGCGATTTCGTTTTGATTTCGAAAAATATGCCGGCAGACACGACGTACCTCTATATATTCGACCACCTGTCCTACTAAAACTGTAGTACTTGCGAGTGTACCAACGACGACAGTAAATTGTATGTTTTAATATTATGCAGTACAAAACGATACGAATAGATACGCATTTTGTTGTGGGGCGAATGTTCGAATTTATGTATGCGAGCGGCGGACGGACGGGACGTGGACGATTGAATATCTGTCCGTTTTCTGCCGTCCGTATAATTTCGTTTAATTCGACGTATTACAATATCGTAAGCCTTCGTCAAGCCGGAGGTCTCTCCGGGTTTAATGCTCGGAAAAGGGACACACGACCCGGACACTATTTATACATACATGCTTATATATATATATATATGTTTGTATCTATAATATCCAACTGTAATTGTATAATGTCCTATAACGGCGTTACGAGAGTTTATTGACGAAAACGTACTTTTTGCGCCGACGATTATATTAATCATCGATACGCATTCCACCCGCGTGCAGCGTGTGTATACATACTATAAAATAATATGACATCAGGATGTTTATTGATTGTGTATAATATTATATAGTAATTAAATCGTTGAAAATGTTTTTTTCTTTTTTATTCGTGTAGACTAATGTACCTACATCATAATAAATATATAACGGTATACGTGGCCTCGGAATTTCCACGGTTCATATTTTTGTTTTTTTTTTGTTTATGTCTTCCGCGTTAACACCCCTACAAAAATATTATATTTTATAATACCGCAATCGGTATATAAATGTGTTGCACTGTCGTATATGATATATTACGACTAATATGTCCCACTCGTATAATATGAGATCTGTGTTTCGCGAATGCGTTTCACCTACGGCGGTTGAATTATTATCATTGTGTGCACCTACTTACTAACTATATTTATTACATTATACTCATGGGCATTTCGATTTTGTTTTTGTCTACAGGTATTGTTTCGTCCAATAACTTGTGGAGCGCAAGACTGAGACACCAAAGACATCTGTTGGACAAGACGCCGATCGCAGAACCGTACATATCCAATGAATACACCACGAATCCGGTGAGTGTTCGAATCTGTTGCGTTCTTTTTGATCTCGAAATCAAATTTATATTATATTATAATGTGTGTGTAAGAGCCCCGAGTGGTTTGTATATCGGGATTGGGACGAGAATAAGTTCTGGGAAAAGTTATTATAATACAACCCGTTCCGTACAGAAACTCTCAAAACCCTTCAATTTTCTTCTATGACAGCTGTATGCATAGGTATTAGTATTAATATAATTGTACAATTTCGAGCAAGGACTCGTGTTATGGTATTTTAATCATAAAATTTACACGTCGATTCGTTCGCTCAAAGTGCATTTAAATATATTATACATTTATATATCACGTCATTTCGTTCATTGCGTCGATTGTTGATTAATTTTGGGCACTCGATACAATTCTCAGTGGATTAGTATATGTTACCATCATTACATATAATCGTGTATGCTTTGGGCTCGTTCCAGACATTTAAACGTTATCATTTTCAACAATGAATAGGGGATGAAATATGACACTGATTTTTATTCGATGCTAACAACAATAGAGGCTTATTTTCATTGATATAGTAAATGTGCTCGTCGTTTGTGCTGCGTTGAAATGAAACTTGTTTAAAACTTGGCAACGCACGGACGTATACAATACATGCTATATAAGACAGTATATCGACTGTTCGCTGCCTTCTTCAAAAACCCCACAACAATGTATTATTATCTTACTCACAAAATTAACAAAGAATAATAATATTTTGTTTTTCGTGTATTTGGATTAATGCCAAAGCTGACAGTTGTGTTATCGATGAGAAAAGAATTAACGTTTCTATATGACGAATTCGGACTTAGTGCACGATATAAACTATTCGGATTTCGAAATGGTTATTTATCTTTATTACAATGTTATTATTTCCGTTCAAATGAATTCATAACGTTCGGAAAATCAGTTGGTTTAAAATATCTGAGAGTGAGTACCTACTACCTATACAAGTAGTAATATTCAAACCATGTATTAACACAATAACTATCGCCAAAAACGTTTTTGTTCACCTTAATGTATACCTTTAAAATAATTCTACCCCCTCCCCCATATTATATTATTATTACGCTCATGTAAAATTCTTCGTATCAATTAACTTGACGTTATGACTTCCCTCGCAATGATGCTATTATGTTTTGAATAGTGTTTAATTCCGTTGAAATACAAAAGACGGATTTTGATTCCGTTTTGAAACAACAGACCTTGTTGAGTTTTATTTATATAAAACGTGTTATGCATACACATTTCCATTGTAACCCAAGAATGTATACTATTCCCCAAGTCCCGCTCGGAACGATAATAATATGAATGATACTTAAAACAATATCGTACGAGGAAATATTAAAATGCATTTTTGAAAATCGGTACACAATACTCAACCACATATTGTTGTTGTCGGTGGTTTGCAATGTCTAAATATAATAGTGTGGATTGTCGTACTAAATTAGTTGTTGAAAAATAATACCATTTAATTGTATACGCGTTGGCCGCTGATTAATTTTGTTGGAAAGTCTGAGTAAAGGAGTTATGACAAAATGTAATAACAATAAGAGTTTGACTGTACCGGATAAGTACTTGGTTGTACATTCGAAAAAAATCGTACGAATTCGTTTCGATTTCGACCATACTATCTGTGTATAACGATCTGCTGCAGTATATTATGTGTATTATTATTGCTTTAGCGTATGATAATAAAACTACGTGTACCAGTGGCTTTCTTAAATTGAAAAACATTGCCAAGTCGTCATCGATTCAACACATTTCCATTGGTAAAAATGTTTTTTTATTATTATTATTATTATGTGAGAATGCATTTCGAGTAGTGTAATACAGTGGCGCATATACATATAAATTTATCCATCTATGTATAGTGTGTGTGTGTGTGTGTGTGTGTGTGTGTGTGTGTGTGTGTGTGTGTGTGTGTGTGTGTGTGTGTGTGTATGGAGAGAGAGAGAGAGAACGCGAGGTACCCGTGTGAGCATATATCATTTTTTTATTTTATTTTTTACTCGACAGACTCGCGTATATTATATATATTTATTACACGTGCGTGCGTGTGTATTTTCTGTTTGGGGTTTGTTTTGTATATAATATGATACAACGACGAAGATAGTATAATATTGTATACGTGTATAATACGCTGTGTGTGGACGGCACCGGCAGCGTGCCCGTACGAGTTGAACAGAAGTTTTTTTCCACTTATTCGATTTACTGCAACGCGCGTATGCTGCACACCAGCTTTACGGATATCGTTTTACGTTCATAATAGGATTTGTGGCGGACGCGTAGATATAGATATGACGATGCCGAGAGATAGTAAAATTGAGAGAGAGAGAGAAAGGCGAAACTTTTCACGCGCATATACCGTCGGCTGCAGTGGCGCGTTAGTGGAATTAGAATTAAAAAAATGTATATATATATATTATATATACATAAATAGAAGTTGATAACCATGTTCTGCAAATGACGGGAGAAGTGCCCATCTACCGCATATATACGTATTTTCTTTTTTCGCGTGACCGGCCGAACCGTTTTCTATAGACACACACATACACACACATATATATATATTATATATTGTTTTTCCTCCTATACAATATAATAACACGTAGGTAGGTATGTGTTTAATATATGTATATATATAACAATAATACACCATTTGATGCGGTGTGTTCATTTTATAATTTTTTTTTGTGCCCCCGAGTACATTCTGTTGGCGCAAAATGACGGTATTAATTACGAAAATTACCCAGAGGATTGCGTGTCACTTTTGGTATTATATGTATGCCGTCGTGGTTGTACGCAGTAGTGTCGTACACACCATTTATGTATGTGCTCGCCAAATCAAAATAATAACACGGGGAACAATCTCATCGCCACCATACATATATGCATACCTTCGTGTGTCTGTTTGGTGACGGGTTTAATAATAATGATAATAATAACAACAAGCGTGTAATGGTGTGCCCACGCGCTCACGAGAACCGCGACTGAAATAATACAACAATAATGGTCTTATATTTTAGATTTAAAAGTATTTTTGTTCGCCTGTGTATTTTTTCCTGTCAATTGTTGTTTTAATATACTGTTGATGTTGTTTTTGTGTCGTCTGGCGCCCGATCGAATCGAGCACGACGGTTGACGATATTATTACGAATGTCAGTATAGAAAGAATCTGAACTATAAAACTATCGTTAGTGCTCGTACGGCTCACTTCATCGGCATTCCTCGCTATATGTACAATTGTACGACCATCATGAGTCATGGCATTCAGAAAACGCCCGAACTGCAGTCGTCAATCGGTGTTATAGAATTTAGCCTGTTGGGTACGTTGATAACGTTTTAAGAGGCCAAATAATATTCAATTATATACTATTTTTGATCTTTTCTTTTTTTTTTATTCGTATGGTTGTAGTACCACACACATTTACTTGGTGTACCAGTTGAAATTCAAAATTTAACCTTTTGTGAATTCTTTGCTTACTTTGGAGCACAAAATGATCATTGCAATTTATAGTGAACATCATAGTGTTTAATATCATAACATTTATAGTGCATATTTTCTAATCTAAAATTATAAAATGTTTCGTGATGTTGATACGACTGAAGTAACGATTTTCAAATGGGTTATCTCGGTCTCCCAGAAAATGTCATACCCGAGCAACCTGATGCCGTCTCAGTACTTTGAAGTATTTAATATCATCAATATTGTACTTGCTGTCTAATACCAGTGTTGCATTTCTGATCTTATTTATTATCACTCTTCTTGCCCAGATACGTGGGATTATAACGTAACGATCGTATGGTCCAAAAAATTGGGCATGAGCAAATAATAGCGCGTGGTGATTATTAATAATGTAATACGTATAGTGACCACTGATAACATATAAATACATTCAATGGATGAACAGATTCTACCAATAATAACGGGATGCAGGAGGATCAGAACATTTCCCTTGGCATAGAAAGTCTCTTTATAGTATTTAATTCGACTCGCGTACTTATATAGTAGGATTTACAGCGATATAATATGTGTGGTGCCATCGAAGGACGTTCGTCTCTTCGACTTTTTAGCTTTTATTAGGTATATATTTTACGGCACGCTTTGAGGACATCAAAACAATATAATAATATATAATGTATTGATGAAGACGCGTTTTCTTATGGTAGCGTGTACTCGTTATTTGTTGTGTTATTGTTTATGATGTATTGTCTGCTGTGTATAACATTCACCGAAAAAGATTCGGAATCGATCGGATGCTGAGCAGCTCGCCCGCCGTTTCTGCGTGTCTCTATATATATATAAATATGTATACGAACGGGCAGAGGTTCGTTCCAGTTCGTTACGTTCTTTTCCGGCGTGTACGTTCGACTCGTGGGTTCAAGGATTACCCGTTTAATCAGCTGCTTTATAGTCTGTCAAAATGTCTATCTCCGCTACAGTCGGGTTGTTACATGCTATATATACACAATTCGTCGTAGTATATCCGTCGCGTAAACATTGTTGATGGAATTTTTTTTATTATTATTTATTGTGCAACGTATGTGTAGGGGGATACGATATTTGTTGTACACAATCGATAGAACGAAAAAATAAAAAAAACTATAATATTATATTATATACATCTGCAGATAATAGTCGAGAAACAAAATTTCAACAAAATATGCTGTCCGATTTTCCTGATGCTATCTAGCGTACTTATTTTACCATAACATTCGATCGTGAACTTAACCTAATCTATTATACCATTACATTCCATCGCGAACTTATAAGCGCGTTTTGTTTTTAGTCATTGTCACAGTTGACAAACTCAATAGATATAGTCTTGTATAATATATAATATCGTTATAGAGATGGAATATGAATTGTCTTACAAGCGGCGTAAGGTACGATTTTTCAAATTTTAGGAAATAACGCAAATCCCCGGGTTAGTTTAATTTTCCAGGTATATAATTTGTTTACTATAATATAAAATATATAATTATAATAATTTACCTACGGGTGTAATTAAATACATAGTTATACATTATAATAGCGGTTTAAAATTTTAATTGAAGACGGTTATTGTGTGTATAATTTTTCGTCTATTGTATTACGTAATTCTTAGAGACCGGTCAACCATTAAAATTCCATTTAGGACTTAAAATCCCTTTTAAGCCCAAGTCGTACATTTAAAATGCACTTGGTATATATAATAGTATATTAAAAAAAAAAAAAAAACACTCATTAAAAATCGTTTAAAATCAGTAGACGGTCGCTGCTTTAATATTCTTTCCGCCGACTTTCCCGACAGATGACTAATTGCTTTAGAAGACTTTTTTCGCTTCTTATTCACACCTCGGGACACTGCTATTATTTATTCGTTATTATTACTTTTAATCTTGCTGTGCGCCGTGACTCTTGCAGTGGTATTAGTGAATATTTAATTACAATCCGACGAAAATCGTTGCATTCTAGGATTTTTCATCGATTCGTCTGCATCCGTCACAATGCGAAATATGTAGGGTATATAACATGTAATTTCCGTCTTTATGAGTTTAGTGGTTCGCAGCGGACGTTCCGTTTTAATTGATCTATAAACGAGTGCTCTTGGACTGCTGCATCCTGCGTGTACGTCCTATTCGCTCAACTCGCCTCGCTCTTCTGTTCCGAACGCCACCATTAATCCTTCGCCCACCTGATCTACGACCCGCACAGTAATTATACGCGTGACCCAGCAGGGCCGTTTGCATTTTAACCCACAAAGATCGAGCCGAGTATAGGTACCGCATTGGAGCGTAGTCCGTCTAGGTCGTCACATAGTGTATCCATATAATATTCAAAAGCTCATCCGCGTAATTGATATCGGCAAATGTTCGACAAAAGCTGCACGGCACGTGTCTCGGCACGATGCACCACGCTGCAGGTTTTTGTGTGTAAACATATAATTACGTGTTTAAATGCCTATAATAATATGCATTGTTGTGTAGCGGCTTAATCTGCTGCAGCAGTACGCAGGAAATCGTAGCGTATATATATATCATATAATATGAAGCAGATCTCTTTCCTGTCCATGATTTCCCGCAACATGAAAACATTTTATAATTATTTTTCGTGTTATATTTTCAGGACAACCGAGGATTTGGTCCAAAACTTGGATTGACGGTACAGGACAACCACAAGCCGGTGTTTACGAGCTGTTTGAATTACCAGCCCAGCGTCAAGGAAGAACAACCGACCAACACTTATGTGTTCACCGTGAGTATAATAATATCTTAATATGTTTTATTTTCGTCTGTGTTTTGTTTGTTGACAAAAATACAACAAAATCGAACAGTTGTTATAACTCCAGTTATACATGAAAACCTATATTTCAAAACTTCGTCTGATATAATCACGTGCCATTAATACAATGGGTAGCCCTTCGCTTAATAGTCTTGATTTTATACAATTATGACAACATTATGGTATTACTGTATATTATATCCGTAGACCCGTCTGCAGCGCTGCCTAACTACATAACCTAAGTATACATTAATATTGCAGCCGGATCCGCCCGACTAACCTATACATTATTATATTAAATCCGCCTTCTTACTATATACCTATACGTGCTACTTCTATGCTTTTGGAGACTACACGCAAAGTACAAAACCGTACTGAATAAAATATTTACCCGAGCGATTTGTGGACGTAAATAATACGTCCGTGTGTCGTGTGTTGCCCGGCATCGACGCCGTGGTTACATAATAAATAGGTAGGTATGCCATATTTGGCGTGTAAATTATTACGTAACGCAACTCAAAATATAACAATTAATCCTTTAGAAAGCAACTCTATTGTTATAGACTTTAAAGTCTATTATATTGCAATTAATTAACAATTCATTTACCGAGTTATTTTCGTGATGTGTTTACTTGTTTACGTAGATATAAATTCGTTGTAAAAATAAACATCGAATTGTAGCGTTTCCGTCCAATGCATCCAATACACTTCTCTTCTTATTAATTACTAAAATAATAATATTATAATACAGCTATTGTTCCTATTGGAGTATAATCATTCAAAAGTGTATGTATAACAATATATATTATGATGACAATATTTAAACAACTGCTGTGATATAGCCGATATAGGACAACGCTCGACGAATCCAATTTTGTTGTAATACGCATTTCGCTTTACCTACGCACTCAGTGATCTGCGCTGACTCATTTGGTGCACTAATGTCTTCGGGTATTGAGTATTTTTTGTTTTTGTATATAAATTATAAACTTAAAAAATAGGAACTATTCGTTGATAGTGTAGCTAAATTGCCTAACCAAAACGCCGCGCCGCCATAATAATATTGTTATATTGAATGAAATACATAAGAATATGATTACAAGATCAAAAAAGAAACTATCAACTTTCTACGACATTGGCTTATGTGAATTTATAACACCGTTTTATAGTAATTATTACCCGCCTATCTGGTATAAAGTTTTAAATTTAAAAAATAATGATATCAATAACATAATATTTATAGAAACTTAATTTTTTATACAGCGATTGCAATAATGTCTATAGGTATATAATTCGTATAGCTATCCACCTACCTACCTAACCAATGTTAAGTTTGAACAATACTTCATTGTTCTTTAAATTAATTGATTAAATTGCTATATTATTATTGAAAAATACATCTTTTTGGAACCATTTAGGCGGTATTAAAATCCGTTTACCATTTGTTTTTGTACATCACTGTTATTACACTCTTTGAACTATATATGAGTACGCTTTAAAATAATAATCAACACTTTTAAGATGTCAATTAATTTTATATCCACCAGGCGTCCTTTTACACCGAATGAAAATTTGAAAAGATCACTAATTTGACGACAAAACAATCTAAATTAATTTATAAATCACCGCCGGGTAAATAATTGAACTACTGCTGCAGCCTTGAAATATAACAATAATACACCCCACGAAGAAGAAATTCATAGATCGATATTGTTACTACTACTAACAAGATATCTATTGTAGCTATAAATTATAATGCTATATATATATTGTAGTAATGTACTAGTCAGAAACTTATTCTAAAAATGTAAACTGTTTCATATTTTTGTCCATCGATGTATAATTAAAAGACATGGCTCTTCGGATAATATATATTTATACATATATCGGTGCGCACGAGAATATTAAATAATCGGATTAAAAATTGACTTGCGATGTCAATAATAGAGAACAATCCGACTTTAATAATTAAATAGACACGCTGTGCGTCTACCATTTATACATTAAACAAACGGTTATAAAATATTTCACAGCGTGTAGGTTGTGGTCTATATAGGTACTACACATATACAACCGCCACTACGACCTATACCTCTGCTATTATATATTATCACTACTACAACGGCAACTGTATTTAAAAGGTTCAAAAACTGCACGTGGGTCGGCATCGTGGGTAAACATATTATAATAATTGTTGTTGAATTGAATTATTTTACATACTATACCGGACCCCGATTGTTATGCGTTTGCGTCAAGTCAGCTTTATGTGGTGAAAACCCGGTGACCGTCGATACTCGATCGATTATTTTACGTAGGTTCTTATACATATATGAAGAAAAAAATGACATTATTGTAAAACCGCGTGAAATCGAAAAAAAAAATATATATATATATAGTATTATAAACTCTGTCGGACGGCATAATTTGGTTTACTATACGTTAACTGTTATTTGGCGCTAATCACGTGGTGTCCGACGAAAATTATCGACGGTTTATTTTATATTTTTAGATTGGCTTTCAATAATTGCTAGCGCGTAAGTACACGGTACACTTAAAAAAAACAATGATGCAAATAAAAAAACTACCAACACTAGTTATAACAATTATGATGTATTATCGGTGCCACCATGGTGGTTTTATTATATTAAATACTTATATTGATCACTACTGCATGTGTTGTACTGAGAATATTTTCGAATCGATTCATTTGATTAGGTTAGGTTAGGTTAGGGAAATAGAGATGATTACATTTTTTTATTGTATATAGTATTCCGACTTAAACAAAATTAATGTTTTTTCTACTCCATCACATATATTTATGTATAAAAATTTAAACCGTAGTTGAATACGATAATTTAGTTTTTAGAATTATTACAATTTGACTATACCTAACCGTATTTTTATATTATATTATTGTAGTATCGAATAAGAGCAGCGTATAAAATGTATAATTATTCTTTACTAATCTCCAAATATCAGTTTTAACTATTTGAATTAAAAATACATGTAACGCGTGTATAAAAATCTTTGTATACCTATTATAATATTATACGCATGCACTATGTATATAATTTTACCAATTTCATTTTACCCTTTCGAATGTGTAAAAAAGTAATAATATATTACCTATAATATCCAAATCGATTTCGATTAGGCAACCGTATTGTTTGGCGTACCCGTCCCAATTCGCTTTGCTCATACAATGATTATTCGTGCGAATTATAATGATAATGATCTTCAAAAATCGGTTAGGTTATTCGGTTAGGACCATAAAAACAGTTCACTATAATAATGATGATTATGTCGACGATAATAATAATAATGATAATAGTGATAAAAATGTGCGTTTCACGCTCCGATAAATCTCACACGTGTTCGTTTTCTCGTTGTCAGGTCAAAGCGTTCGACAAGGACCCACCGGACAATGGAGGTACAATCACGTACACATTTGTCAGCGCGCCCGGCGAACGTCCAAAGTTCTCCATCGACGCACAGACCGGGGAGATCACCACCCGACACGTAAGTATAACATTTATATTATGCGCTTATAGATGTACAGACGATCGGTGGCGTATTTTTCGACGTTTGGAGGGGAGGGGAAACTTTCTGTAATTTTTAGAATTCCGTTCTCGTTGCCACCAAACTATGTATTATACGTCACTGCATACCCGTTAGTCCGTAGTTGATACACCCCTTCTGGAGACCAGCGCCACAAGAGAACGAGTAGAAGGGTATGGGAAAACTTTGTACGATCAATTAATGATCCTATTTATTTATGATTAAACTAACTTGTAAAGGGATATTTGAAAACTATATCAAACACTAATAATAAATGAAAAAAATTGATGTGGGATACGTGTTTTTTTTCTTTATAGACCATAATGTTATTAAATATTAATCACGATAATAATATATATTAAACAATTTATTCTATAGATACACGGTGGTGTATTGATTACCTATTAAAAATGCTTTTGGTTGCCGTAAAAAAAAATTTAACTTTTCGGGGAACGTAAAAAATCACCGCGATCGTCTGTGCCGAGCAAGTGATAATGTTATGTCACCGATCAGGCCCCTGATCTAACCATTTCTGCGATGTTTGTTGTTCGCAGATGTTCGACCGAGACGAACCGACTCGCGAGAAAGAAGTGTACCTGTCTGTGAGAGCCACGGACAACGGGAAACCGCACCTGGACGACGTGTGCACCATCAAAGTGACCATTCAGGACGAGAACGACAACTCACCGGTTTTCGACAAAGTGGTGAGCATATTGTTATTCGCATAAAATGATGTGATATCGTGCGGTCGCATACATTCGCGTGATCGTGCAGTGGGTGGTGCGGTAATCGGTGCGATTATAACAACAACTACCCTCCGTCCGTCCGCACCCCTCATCGCTGCAACCGCAAACCGTATGCGCTTCTGTCTGTATTAATACCGTCCGGATGCAGTTCGCCAACTGCAACCGTGTATTACATACAAACGAATCACCAACACGATATGATGACATTATTACTACTACTACCACTGTTATTATTACTGTTTTTATAACATATTGCCTGTATTGTACATACATCGAATCCAGGTCTATCGAGGATTCAACTACAAGGTACGACGTGCTTTTGCATGCGCCCCGCCGAATATAATAATCATTAATTCGCCGTGTTTCTTTTATTTTTTTATTTTTTATTTTTTATTTTCTTCTGCATGGATTTCGTTCAGATACAGACTTGTGTTTTCTATTACTTATGTATTCGATATCCAACATAATATTATGTATTGGAAATTGTTATCGTGTTTTTTTTCTATCAATACGTATGACGTGATCGTCTCCATCGTTCAAGATCAATTTTTTTTTTTAAACTTTGCTGAACGTAATTTTACAAAATACGTTTGGAATGCATGCCGCATGTTATTTTGTTTTTATAATATTTTATTTACTATCAGTTTGTTGCTTTAAAACGGCTGTTACAGTCATATTATATGATGTATGTGCAGTAGTTGATAAATTGTTTTTTTTTTTTTAAGAACTACGTTGAATCCGTACCCCAAGACTTGCTGTCCAAAAGCGAAGTGATGAGGATATCGGCTACGGATATTGACGATGGTATAAACAGTGCCATACAATACGATCTGTCGCCCAGAATGCCTCAGGACTCGAATTATTTCCGAATCGATCAAAACACAGGAGTCATCTACTTGGATCGCGCAATCGACGTACGTATAATTATATCATATTATTGTGCACCGCAATCGAATCGATTTTATCTTATTTTTTATTTTTTTACCTGATATTATATGTAATATATATTAATATAATTTTAAATTTAAATTTATAATTAATATAATTTTTATATTAATATTATTTTAGCGAGATCCTGGCTACAAGTTCAAGATGCGGGCCACAGCCACAGATCAAGGTTTGGTTCCCAAGTCGGCCACGATGGATCTAGAGATCTTGGTGGTCGAATCGCACAAAAAAGCACCGACTTTCATATCCGTTCAACCCGACGGAATCATTTATCTACCGGAAAATCTGACTAATTTCAGTTTTGACATTGCCACCATCATCGCAGCGTAAGTTGTGTCTCGCTCCATGTAATAATTTATGAGCCAATTCCATAAGAAAAAAACAATTTTCGTGACTGTGAAACGATGCTATAATTTATTGTCGGGTTTTGCCCGGCCTCTTTATATGCAGATCGAACACTGATGAAAAATCGCCGGTTTTCGAATTGGTGCCTGGCCGGACGGAACAATCAAATAAATTGAACACTTTCCGATTGGAATCCGAAGGCAACACCGCTCATATCAGATTATCGAGACACATGGACTACGAATCGATATCCGAGTACATTCTTAACATTCGAATACAGGTAAAACGTTTGTGTTGGTTACATAATATTATATTTCGCTGCATATTATAATCTACGTTAATATTATATATATAGTATATACATACGTCGACCGACAACCCATGAGTGTATATATAGCTGTTTTAATAATAACAAAAGATTTTAATGTATGTGTGTATTATACCGCAGCCCTGTCTGGCGTCTACAGTATATTTTAAGAGGACGTTCCCCTCGCATAATATGTGTGTGTTGTCTGTTTCTGTCTTATAAATACGTAAAACACAGCAAATTTGTGTTCAGCTGAATCTGTCAAGCGTCGTTAATTTTAATTTAAGGATGATTTATTGACTTTCTATAATATATACTATTATCTAAATTTTTAATCGATATTTCAATTGTAAAGCGAGTGAGTAACATAAAAAAATTATTACATTTTACATAAAAAAAAAATAACAAAAGCTCGTAGAGATCCTCAAGATTATATAAATTAGGTTTACCTTTAAGTTTCATAATTATAGGCCAATTCATTATAATATTGAAACTAACAAGACAAAATGGATTCTTGTGAACGTAAATTTGATGAGTTCTTCGTTGGTAAGACGGAGATAATACATAATGCGAGTATACAGATTGCAGTCTCATCGTGTTTGTCCTTGTGCTGAAACAATTTTAATTACTATTTGAATACTATTAATTAAAATTAATGATACTACTTTTAAAATGTTATTGACTTAAATCAAATTAGCTCCGTAAACCGGCCATTTCAGATTAAAAAGTAACCCGATAGCCCAAATTATTTTTCATCGTTTCGTCGGAGAAAATATATGAGATAACAATACAATTTGTTTTTGTATATTATAATTATAATATAAGAAACGATTGAATTGAGTTTTATTTAAAAAAAAAAAATAAATACCATTGAAAGATACCCGTGAAAGATAAATTTGTCAATAAATCTGAAAATTATCATACTTATGCCTCCTCCCCTCCCCTAAAAAAAATATTTTTTCTATTTATAAGTAGGTACACCGCTATAAACGCTATAGCGTTTCTATATTATCGTGTATTGTTTACATATTTAATACTCGTGATTATTTCATCAGAACAAGCACAATCTGGCGGCGGAACACCAGTTGAACATCCAAGTGGAAGACGTAAACGACAACATACCGGTGTTTACCGAGGTCGTGTCGGGTTCCGTTTTGGAGAACGAACCGGCCGGCACAGCCGTAATGCAGGTCCGAGCGATCGACGCCGACTCGAGCATGGCCAACAACCGCGTCACTTACGAGTTGGCCGACAACCGTGATTACTTCGCCATCGACCCGTACACCGGTAACATAACCACGGTTGTGATGTTCGACCGCGAGAAACAAGACGTGTACAACGTCAAGGTGATCGCTACGGACAACGCGCCCTCTGCGCTGTACTCGACCGGTGAACACAACAAGGGTGAGTACAAGGGCGCGACGAATGTCGTCGTCTCTCTTTTGGTAGAATGCTAATAATTATAATTAACTGAAGATGACAGGGTTGGTGACTATTGGGAACACCCTCCAAGATCGATCTTAATAAACCTCAATTTTGGTATAAACAAGTTTTTGATAGGTACTTAAAGTAACCATAATATATTATGGTGGACGGTGCAGTGTTTTCTGCTGCCATGAGAATTATATTCTTCTCAATAATAAAAACAAATTATATTGTCAAATCGATTGGTCTAAAAATAAACTGTTCACCCAATTTCGTATTATATGTTATAATCGTTGAGAAAACGTAGAAAGATGTGTATGAAATGATGCATCGGGAAAAAATTATTGAGAATATTGTATTTAAATTGAATTGCTTGAGAATGAAAATACAGAAAATATTAATAAAAGATTTTTGAAGCGTCTCATTTTCTAACATCGAAACTTAATTAAAAACCATACGCTTGTTTTGCACGCCGAATGTTGTATTTGAAATTATTTGAATACCAACCCAAATAGTGGGAGGAGTTGTAGACATAGGATCTAGGCCACGAATGCGTGATCATAATATGTTTGCAGAAAAACGATGAAGATATAATCCCTCCCCGAAACATATTTATAATTACGGCCACTGGCTTGATTTAACTGTTATAAACGTAGAGTCGTATTAGTATAACGATAATTAGTAACCCTCTTTGCAGACGTTCGACCAAATAAACAACTCTTACCGTCACGCCCACGCCTTTACTAAAGCTCCACAACTATATATTATTCACTGTGGTGTTATGTATTTATTTACTTCTATATATGAAATGTTGTTGAGCAGGCGAACAAGTGTTCCGGATCGAAATCGCCGACAAAAACGACCATCCCCCTCATTTCACGCAGTCCGTCTACGAAGCCGAAGAAATACCGGAAGACGCCAACTTGAATGCTCTGGTCACGGAAGTAAAGGCCTTAGATGACGACACCGCGTCCCCAGTCACTTACAGCATCGTGGATGGCAACATCTACAACGCGTTCCTGATCGAAAACACGACCGGAAAAATCAAAGTTAACAGTCAGCTGGACTACGAAAACATCACTAACGTAAGGAACCTCCCACTTATCGCACAATCGAATCACACTCGCTTACAGCGTTTGCCGAAGTCTGTATAATAATGTGTGTATTGTATGAAATCCCGCAGTATGTATTGAAAGTGAGAGCTTTTGATGGAGCTTACGAGGACTACTGCACTGTAGAGATAAAAATATCTAACGTCAATGACAACCCTCCAGTGTTCCAGCCGTACGAAGGGAACATCACAATCACTGAAGAAGAACTCGTGCCGGGTTGCATTACTACGGTAAGTGTTTACAAAATATTATTTTGTGAAATGAAAAGTATTAATTTGACTACAATTGTAATGTATATCCTCTTGTAGTTGGAAGCATACGATCCAGATATTCAGGACCGATCCATGGATCAGCGTATCGTGTACTCTGTAGTCAAAGATGACCAACGAAAGTTAATGACCATCAACAAAAACGGATGTCTATCACTCATAAAACCCCTTGACCGTGATCCTCCAAATGGTTATGCTACGTGGCAAGTGATCATACAAGCTAGCGATGAAGGTGGTGGTCCAAAGAGCTTGCAACAAACCACAGAAGTCATCATTGCACTCAGAGACATTAACGACAATGCACCATATTTGGATATGGTAAGTTATTGGACAGTACTAATAACTGAACAGTGTATAAATCCTTGTTCAAGATAACTGCAGGCTAGGTTAACGTAAAACAAATAACCATCAGATTGATTCAAACTACAATTATATAATATAATTGTTTTTGTGGTACACTTTTAGTCCAATGAAACCGAATTGATTCGGATAACGAATAAGTGCAACGTTAATTGAATTGCTCCTTAAAAGATATCAAACTATAATTTTAAAAATGTATTCATTTAACTTATTTATAAAAAAAATCTTTGTGAAAGGTAGTTCAAATTATGGAAATAACTGTTTTTGTAATACATTATTTGTTTGTTTTTTTTTCAGCCCCAACCAGTAGTTTGGCGTGAGAATCAATTATCCGGAACAATTACACGACTGGCCGCCAAAGATAATGATGGACCTGAAAATGGTGCTCCATTTGATTTTGCCATCTCTAATGATGCCTCGTACGAAATTAAGACAAAATTCGGAATTTCAGGTTTGTCAAATTATAAATTAATCCTTCCTAAAATGTTACTAATTTACTCTTAATATCATGTACAGGCGTTGAACTACAGGCGTTAACCACGTTTGATCGTGAAGAGAAAAAGTTTTACAATATACCCATAACAATAACTGATAGTGGAATACCTAGTTTAACGGGGACGAGTACACTCCAAGTGGTAATAGGTGATGAGAACGACAATGCCATGAAGCCTGGAAGGAGCTCCATATTTGTTTACACATATAAAGGTGAATCTCCTGACATGGAAATTGGACGTGTGTATGTTGATGACTTGGACGACTGGGATTTGCCTGACAAAAAGTTCAAGTGGCTACATGGACCGCATGAACGCTTTGACCTTAAATCAGAAACTGGAATGATTACTATGCTACAAAATACCAAAGAACAGACTTTTGTTTTGGAGTTTGAAATCACAGAACAAGGAATAAAGATCCCCAGACATACAGTAAATTCGACTGTTGTTGTAACTGTTAAGGAGATACCTGAAGAAGCTGTTGATAAGTCAGGATCAGTTAGGTTAGCCGGAATTTCAGCTGAAGAGTTTATTACCCCTGGTCCGGTATGTATTATTTTATTGAAACCCTGCCATTTGTATGTTAGCGATTAATAATAATATTTTTTATGTTAATTTAGGACAACATAAGTAAAGCAACTATCTTAAAGAAACGGTTGGCTTCAATTTTAAATGCCACTGTTGAAAATGTTGATGTATTTACTATTTTGCATTCTCCTCACAATCCCAACACTACCCAATTGGATGTACGTTTTTCTGCTCATGGTTCCCCATATTATCAACCTGAAAGGATCAATGCTGCTATTGATAAACATCAAGTAGAGGTAAGTAACAAAAAAGATTTAACTTATTACAAAACTAATTAATTATTATCAAATATAATATTTTATAGCTTGAAAAAGAGTTAGGTGTCACTTTTCTCATGGTCAACATTGATGAGTGTCTTGTTGAAAAACTTTATTGTGAATCATCTTGCACAAATTTCTTAAACAAAAGCAACGAACCAGCCGCTGTATACACAAATACCACATCTTTTGTTGGGATACGAGCTGTGATAGATCCATTTTGCCAGTGTGAACAGAGGGCAACCACTAAAATCACATGTCATAACGGTGGTACTCCATCATCAGATGGGTAAGTTATTCACATACATTTTTCATTGATATTAAACAGTTAAGTTAATGACACTGTCTTTATACTTTTAGTACCGCCTGTCAGTGTCCTTCTGGTTTTGAAGGACCTCGGTGTGAAATACTCAGCATTGGTTTTTACGGTGAAGGTTATGCCTTGTATCCATCCTTACAATCCTGTATGGAGTCCCACATGTCATTGGAAGTGCGCACCTCTGTTGACAACGGTCTATTATTTTATGCTGGGCCCAGCAGCGTCAAACCTTCTCCACTGTCTGTACAAGGTATTTGAAACAAATTAAATGAAACATTTATTGTATTTTATTAAACATAATTATATTTTGCAGATTTCATGTCACTGGAGCTCAAAGATGGTTACCCCGTACTTTTGGTAGACTATGGCTCGGGCACACTCAAAATTGGACAAAAACAAATTAAAATATCTGACGGAGAACCACATCGCATCGAAATTATTTGGACCAAAACTGTACTTATAATTACACAAACATTATTATTTATGTGTTATCTTTATATATATAATTGTTAATATGTTTCAGAGCATTGAAATGAAAGTGGACAGCTGTAATCTTCCATCATGCTTAAGCCTTAGCCCTCCAATAGGAATCAATGAATATTTAAACGTCAATGGGCCTTTACAACTTGGTGGATCGTTTGTTGACCTTAAATCAATCGCAGCCACGCGCAATTGGACTCATAAACCTTTAAGCAATGGATTCAATGGTTGCATACGTAATTTAACTTTCAACGGTCATCTATACAATTTGGGCGCTCCTAGTATGTCTCGCAATGTTGATTTTTCGTGCACACACGGTACTGCAGTTGCTGTGTCATTTGGTATTGACGCTAGCTTCTTGATAGCCATTTTTGTGTGTCTAGCTGTCTTGTTGAGTAAGTTAATGCTCAGAAATACAAAACTTCGGCATTTCTAAATAAACATTTTATTTCTTTAGTATTGCTGCTAGCAGTAGTGGTGCATAGAAGAAAGTCTGATGATTTATACAAAGACACCGATGACATTAGAGAAAACATAATCAACTATGAAGATGAAGGTGGCGGCGAAGGAGACATGACCGGTTATGACTTAAACGTTTTGCGGCTTATGTATGATGGCTCAGAACCTGTACAAGGATTTGATGATGCTGGAAACTTATTACAAAAACGTGGTAAGCCTTTTTAATATTCACATTAAATAGTAATATATTAAAATTTGAAAATTGTGTTTGATCACAAATTATTCTTGTGAAACCAAATTAATAATTTGTTTACATTTTATTTTCATGTTGAATTCTATTTGTTTAATATGTGTAACACTTGGATAAATATATTTAAAAATTAAGAACACATTAAAATTACTCCAAAATTATACATCTATTAAGCCGTGTCCAGACATAGGATACATTTGTCAGAAACATATGTTTCCTGAATGCAAATGTACTTAGATTTCGATGCACCTTTAGTTTTACACTAAACCACTTGTTTATAATAATGTTTAAGATTTTTCAACATAATATAACAATATGTTAGAATGATATTGGAGTAGACTAATATTTATTGGTGGTAGTAGTAGGTAATACAAATGAGGAGCAGTCCTCTAGTTCTAATATATGTTTGTGTTACAATTAATTTCAAAGCTGAACAAGATTTTCAATGTACTTATACATTATAATATTATCATTTTTATTTATAATAATAATTATAATTATTTTACTTTTCAGCTCCAGATGAAGTTCCTGATATTTGTGGTTTCCTTGGTGACAAACTGAACTCCGTAGATAATGATCCAGATTTAGGTCCGTATGATGATGTCCGCAATTATATGTATGAAGGTGAAGGCAATTCAGTTGGATCACTTTCATCATTAGCTTCAGGTTAGTTCAAGTGTTTTTCATTCAACACAAATATTCAAAAGATGACTTTTTCTGAATGTTAAATTAATATTTTTATTTAAATATGTCTATAGGAACAGATGATGGAGACTTAAACTTTGATTACCTTTCTAACTTTGGACCTCGATTCCGCAAACTGGCTGATATGTATGGCGAAGATCCAAGTGATGAAGAAAGTGAAACGTACCGCAATACTCATCCCGAGTCGTGGTGCTAACACGCATTTGAAATTCGCTCTGAATAATCAGTTACCGGTGCATATGTTATCTGTAAGGTTATATAGCGAGTACATACCTAGACTTAAGTACCGACTATATAAAATATTTAAAAATGAATCATTTGTACAGAGAGTTGACTGTGCTCTAATGACAATTATCTAATAATAATATTTACTATAAATATTTTTATTTTCATTTTACTATTAATTGTTTTGTGTATTATTGACAGTAACGAAGTCAAATTTTTGTGTATGAATTCAAAAATTGATTCGTGATCTCAACAACAGACTGCTTTAGTCTAATTATATTATTTTCTCTTTTTTTTTTTTTTTTGTAACAAAATCACAAATCTTTGTAGGCGTCAACATTAAACTATGTATAATATTTGTTTCGCTTATGCAATGTTTACAATTTAAGTTAAATTGCTTCCCAGTAATTACTTGCATATTTTTCTATAGAATTTTATGAAATTCTCAGATTTCTAATTTTCCAGGGAACGGGTTTTTCCCCTGTGATTGTGGTTTCGAAAAATTTGATCCTAAAATATTGTTACTCAATGTGTTATTGGCGATTGATGTTTATTTTTTTAGGTACTTAAATGTTTTTAATAATATTTGTATACTGCCATTGGATCATTTTGAACTAAGAACTTTTTACACGCATTGTACTTATTTGTAAATATATGAAAAATCAATCAGGGTTAATTATTATGCACACATCGGCATACAGAATTCAATTGACTAAGAGATAACCGTAAAATATGATGTCTAAAAATCAAAATATTTTTAACTCCATTCCATATTATTTTAATCATAGTTTATATTTTACTACTATACTTTTTGCTTGAACACTGTAATACTTAATATTATTATATTATTATTACAACATTCGACTATGGTACATATAAAACTTAGGAGATACCCACGTGTTAATTATATACAATATTCAATTTTTTATTATTTTTATTATTGTAGATTATTACTTCGTTAAATCAAAGATTTTGTTGATTTTTTTTTTATGTGTTTTTGTATCCTCAACAAAGAACTATATTATTATTTTATATTTATATACTATAAAAACTTGGTTATTAGAATGTATTTTCTTTTATCCTCATAGGAAGTTTGTAGTAAGTTCATTAAAATTATTTTTTTTTCCTCTAAAATTATTTGTTAGTTTGTATGAATTATTATTTTGTATTGTTGCCATTTGTGATATGTACTTTATTATTTTGAAAACCTTGTAAAGGATGGACAAACATTTTATTTATATTATATTAAAAAAAAAAAAAGAAAAAACATTCCATTTGAAAATAATGTTGTCGATGCGCATATCTGTGCAGATAAACGACTGAAAACTTATAAGATAATATTAGTTTTAAACTAAGAATTTTTTTTATTAAATTTATCATATTATGTCTTATATAAACTATACATATTGTATTTGTTAAGTTGTATTAATTAAGGTGTACATTTAGGGTAAACAAATTAAATCCATATAATTTAATCACCCTTTTTTTTTTGTACCTACCGTCATGTATTATTTATACACCTATACGTTTATAAATGACATTGATCAAGAACTATGCATTTTAGTACCTTCTGTATTATTTCTTTAATAAATGTATTTTGCCTAAGTTCTTCCAATTCCTATATCATATATTTTCAATTTAAATTGTTAAGTTTACCTTTATAATTATTTTTAATTATAGCTACAGTGTACTGTGCTAATTGGGTTTTTCTCTAAGATAACAAATTGTGGATTTGAAGCTGATAATATAAAGTTAAGAATGTCTCATAGAATGTGCAGCTTATACCTTCAATTCACTGTTTTGTTACTTTTTTGCAATGGAAAGTTCTATATTTTATTAGGTTGTTAATTTTACTGATCTTTAACTAGCAGCATTTATTTTACACAGAAATTTGCAGTCGAGAAACAAAAATGTTTCTCATTATACCTTATTTGTTTTAAATAACAAAAAAATTCAGTGGTGAGTAATGGAACTATGGGGGTTAAGTACAGCGGTAAATATATTGGTTTTTACAATAGGTTTTTGTGTGCATGTGTTACATTACCTATTTAAATGTAAACCCAATATTTTGAAAATAGGTACAACTTTATTTAGTATGCATTTCATGTAAATTAGAACAAATTATGTGATGTATAAAAGATATTTTTAAATTTTAAAAAATGTCTGATTTCATATACTAAAAAATTATTTAATGCTGTTTATGGAGTTGACACTGACGCACTGCGTCCTTGAAAGTTGGGAAACTTTAAAAATTGCTGTTGAACAAATTCCAAAAAGTCCTAGAGGAGTTTGTTCAAATGGTTTTTAGTATTATGTGGCAGCTTCACAAAGGTTAATATGGTAAGAACAATTTTGGAATTTAATGATTTCGTTTCGTGGTGAGGACACGTGCAAATTAGGCAAATGATTTTTGTGAGAAAACATTACCCAATACAGTATAATATTACTAATGATTAATTATTATGAAATTCTAGTGCCATTGTTTAAAAAAAATGTCAACACCGTTTATTTTTAATAATTTTCCAAGTATACAATTGAAATTCAAAAAATCAAAAAACATGTGAAATTGTGAACTGATAATTCATTTTTTAAATAATAAAATTACATTTGTTAACTCTTTTTAGGAATTAATCTAAAAATTGGTAAAAATATTTCCATGTATCTCGTTATTACTTTCTTTCATTAATTGAGCATAAAAATGATAAAATACGTTTTAAGTGGTAATATATATTACTGTCTTCTTTAAACTCGTAAAACATATTTTGCTGTTTTGGTAGTGGTATAATTGAATTTACCACTTAAAATTGTTATATTTCAAAACTGCACATTCCTAATATCACATGTGTGACTGTGTGAAAATTTTCTAAAATTTGTATGTACTTATTTAGTTTTTACCACACAGTGAAAAGAAAACACTCAACAACCGGGCGCAGTCATGTTAAATATAATATTTATCGCATCAATACATTTACCAACGTAGCGACAAAATCAGAATTATAATAGGTAATGGTGCTCATTCAGCATGACCAACGAAGTGATTTTCAATTTCAATAATTGCCGAAATAGTTAAACGCAAATCGTGGGAAAATTAATATGAAAACACTTTGGTAAATCATCGTATACCGTGTATCTATAAAAGGTCCTCTATGTCTATATAGGCGGGTATTTGAAATTACAAGGCGCTTGGGATGCCTAAATTAAGGTCAGGGATGCTTCGGTGAGCACTCGTGTAGTTGGTGTATACATGCAGTTGGTAAAAATTATTAAGTACCTGCACAGTTCAACTTCAATTGAAAATAAGGAAACAATTAAAATTATTAATTGTATGGGTATAATACGACGCTTAGCGACGAGCAGGATTTCGAACGAGAAGCTTAGCATAATCACGAGGTGGGCAATTAATATCCAAAAAACAGCTGTCGAATCACACGAACTTACCGTGCACCCTCCGTATAGTTGAAGAGCTTTATTTGCAGTATGCGGATGCCCGTGGCTTAGGCAAGGCTGCACATCCCGAAATTGGCCGAACTACAGAGCAATATAATAAAAGTTTATTGTTATCATAATGATATTATCTCGTATTAATAAGATGATATCGAATAGAATAATTGATGGAACCACATGATCGCGACAAACGTATGTTTTCTAATCTTAATGAGGTTGGCACAGTTATTAGTTCTCAGGTCTACACGCGGATCGTGCGTTTGAGTTAAATACATATATTTTTTTTCAAGTGTAAGACACTTACTTATTTTCATATTTTTTTTATGACGTACAATTTAACCGTACATTTTTCGAAAATTAAAAATACGGTGACGAACTGTCGATTTTGGCGTTATTTCATGCATCATTGCGCTATACTCTTGCGCTTATTGACCGCACCTACATGAGTCGTAGTCAAAATAAAATTGTCTGTGTAACAAGCGACTCTGCGACTCCATCATGACGACACCGGAATACCGTACCTGGCCATATTATGGTTCAAAGACTAATTAAAAAAAATATCATATACAACTATGCAAGACTAATCTCAACTGAAGGAGCCTTCCACTATATAAAACAAGGGGAAAAAGCAAGTAACTGAAGACTGAAACCACGCGTTCCTCGAGATGTCCTTATTATCGTCCTTTTATCTCTGCAATCATCATCATCGTAACCGTTCACTCAGATACGTTTCACATGCTCTCCAAGTGTCAAACATGCTCGTATATCTCAATTCTATGGTAAAATTTTTATTTTTTTCTGCGGTTCATTCTTTTTTTTCTTCTATTGTGGGCAATGGTAAAACAAACACGGTCTTTGAGAAGAAAATGCTTCTCGGGTTTTTTTTTTATATTTAACGGTGGGTGGGTGGGTACTCAATATCCAATCAAAAACAATTGCCTACTGAATAATTATACTAGGTAAATAGCAAAAGTAATGATAATTTATTACACTTGTGTTTATTATAAACTGTTGGCAGGAGGGTGATGGGTGGTTGGTGAGTCGATTTGGGGTTGCTGGTTATGGGTTATTTTAGATTCGTTTCGCCACTGGTGGCAGGTACATAATAATAATAATTAAATTTGAATTTTAAAACCACTGTAAAAATAACAATTTGCCGAAACATTTTATTCAATAGTTATAAACAAAATAATACAAACAAAGCAACATTTTGCAAGGTTCCCCGCCATTTCCACAGCCATTTGTTCTAAATCTAAATAGTCGATCGTAGTCGCTAACAGTTTTGATTGCGAACCGAGAACTCACTCGGGCTGTGAAAAATGTCCACAGAAAAAACGAGACGCACTCGCGGGTCACCCTCCTAATATTTTTCCACTATTTTAACGTCAAAATTTACGGTTGTAGTATATATTTCTCTATAACAACGAAATTTATTTAATGACTAATGACTATATATATTCATGGCACAATAATATATAATTAGTGTTTTATTGTTTCGTAATCGTGTATGTTGCACAATATTTTCAATTTTGGCGTGGTCAAAGCTTGTGGAAAATGAAAAACTGTTAGATTTTGCGAAGAACTTGGCCCTTATTTAAACTTTTGTGGAAAGTGAAAACGGCTTGAATTCAAAATTATTTTGAACTTTGCTAGCTCATATCGTGGACATTTTCCTATAATATACGTATTGTATAAGCCAAAAATGACGAACGCGGCTACTCAAGGGAATTTTGTTTACATATTCTATCGCTGCGGTACCCGCACCTACTTACAAAAAAGATTTTTAAAAAAATCACCGATAGAATATAAAATATTTATAAAAAATACCACTCAACCAAAACCGAAATAGCTTTTAGACATTGGATGGTTATTATTCGCGATTATGTATTCTCGTTAAGTATTTTATTTTTCGAAAAAATCGAAATAAATCTAATAATTTAAACGCCTGTTGAAATCGTGATGAAATTACAAAATCGGCAAACGCATAATTTGATTACAATATGAATGTATCCGCCTCTATAATTATTATAGTTGATACATAAATGTATACATATTTTAATGGCAGTTCGTCGAAAATGATAAAAATTTAAAAAATCTAAATGGATTAAAAACGATCAGGTGCCTATGAAATCGATCATACGGGGTTTACAGGTTGGTGTTATTTTCTGTTTCCTGAAACGTATCTGACGATCGACAATACGTGCCTAATCAATTTAAGTACTTAATATATTAATGTGTCAGGTACTGATAGGTATAATATATTGTTATACTCGCGCGTAGATAATTTAAATGCGTGACGAATATTTGTTCACTTTTTTCTATATTATAATATTACTGGCACAGTTGCACTCTATAATATACTAACTATACTGAGTGGTGTAAACCAGCCTACATTTTAGAGGTCACAAAAGTGGTCATAGCTAGGGTGGTATAGCTAAGAGGGTCCTATAACTATAAGGCCGTATAACCTGTTGATGTGTCGATGTGTGTGTGTGGATATGGGAAGCTAAAAAGTGTTAGGTAACAGATCATGATGGTAATAATAATAATAATTATAATATTAATAGAAAAAACATTCGATCCAATGTACAAGACTTAATAATCAGAGATAGGTATATTCAAAATAAACAATTATAATTATCTTTGTCTGTTGCATGTATTTTAGTGCGGCCGTTTGAAATCAAGACTCGCTGTTATACCTATGAATTATAACATAAATTACTATTATAAATAGATACCAAAATTATGACAAGGTCTGTTTTCGTGTGCGGGTCTAAATACGAAATTCGTCATAGGTATAATACGATTGTACGAATAATTGTTTGTAACGTTTGTTTTACGACGGTTATTTCGATTCGTTAATATTGTAATTACAATTTGTTTGATTTGCAATTGTTTGTAATCTGTGAGCAATATTTCATGATCTTTGTCGTTTTTCGATAATTGTGACAACTCAACAGTATTGGAGTATTGTGGTGTTGAGACTTAAAACCACGGCACGCCGGATATTCGCAAACAAATGACCTACCTAGATTAAATTATTTGAAAATTCAAACAAAGCCGTAGACTGTACAAGTTAAACAACATAAGTACGTAGAAACCATCGAT